TATGGCTGCTTCGGTTGCCATCGTTCCATACGCCAGACTCCGACCTCTTCAGCTACACTTCAACAGAATGTTTCATCCACAGTGGGATTCGCCCAACAGACCAATCCGGCTCCCACTGTCCATTCTACATTCTTTGACATGGTGGACTATACCATTCAATCTGAATGTAGGTGTCCCATTCCGACCGCGTCAACCAACCGTGACCCTTTACACTGATGCATCGTTGATCGGTTGGGGTGCAGTATGTGCAGGACTCCGCACCCAGGGCACTTGGGACCGACAGGAAGCAACCAGACACCAATTTTCTTGAACTGTTTGCGATCTTCAAAGCTCTGTGATCATTTGAGAATACTCTTCGGCGACAAGTAGTACAGATTGCATCCAACAGCATAGCCGCTGTGTTCTATGTGAACAAACAGGGCAGAACAAAAGTGGCCTCCCTGGCCCGGCTGTCGATAAGGATTTGGGACTGGTGCATCCCAAGGGACATAACTCTTCTGGCGGTTCATCTAGCTGGTACCGACAATGAAGAAGCCGACATGTTGAGCAGGCAAATGTCGACAACTCACGAGTGGGAGTTGGATCGACAGATTTGCAATCAGCTTTTCCGTCGTTGGGGACATCCGGACATGGACTTGTTCACTACCCATGTGAACAGGGTATGCGAAATGTTGTGCTCCAGGGCAGGCATTGGACTGGGATCAGCAGGAGATGCCCTTATGATCCCGTGGGGCAACATCAACTTTTACGCTTTCCCTCCAATTCCACTCTTAACAAAAGTTGTCTCAAAGATAGCCCATGACAATGCCATGGGAATCTTGATAACTCCATGGTGGCCTCATCAGCCGTGGTTCTTCACTCTTCTACGGCTGTCAGACAACACCTTCCTTCGGCTCCCATCGATACCACATCTAATAACAGCAAGATGGAGCGGTTCATCATCCAGATCTAGCTTCTGTAAGCTTCACAGCTTGGTGAATCCGCTGATCCTCGATACTGACTCAATACCAACGACATCTTGAGTACCTGCAGTTCTCACTTACAGAACTGAGGCGCTGCTTACTTCCTCGGACCCGATGGGAGTTACCTCGGGATCAGGCATTCTTGATCCAGATAGTCAGAGAATTCTTGAATCTGCTCTACGACCGTCAACACGGAGATCTTATGCAGTGAAGTGGCGTTGATTCTCATCTTTTGCTGAATCCCACTCGTTTGCTCCTGGACTGGCTTCTATCGAGAACATATTACAGTTTCTTTTAGAGCTGCATCGTTTGGGACTTAAACCCTCGTCTATAAAGGTTTATGCGGCCGCGATTTCGCATTACCACGGTATGATACAAGGTTCATCGGTTTTTTCACAGCCAATAGTTAGATGATTTATCAAAGGACTACAGAACCTTCATCCATCAATTCGCCCTGTCATGCCAACTTGGAGCTTCTCGGTTGTACTGCAGGCACTTACTAGAGCTCCCTTTGAACCTCTGGCGACTGTTGACTTACGGCTAGTATCCTGGAAGACGCCCTTTCTCATAGCCGTCACATCGGCTTGGAGAACTAGTGAACTTTGTGTTCTTCGAGTAGATCCACTGTATTTGAATTTCCATAAGGAAAAAGTCGTTCTTTGGATGGATTCGACGTTTTTACCTAAGGTAGCCACTCTGTTCCATATGAATCAGGAGATCATCTTACCTGCTTTTTTCCCATCACCATCGAACCCGATTGAAAGATCTCTACATACTCTCGATGTTCAGTGTTGCTTGGCGTTCTACAGATCCCAACCAGAGTCTTTTCGGCGTTCTAATCGACTCTTCGTGAAATATTCTGAACAAGACAAGGGCTCTCCGATCACATCGCAGAGACTTTCAAAATGGGTTGTTCAGACTATCGTGTTGGCATGTCAACTTGCCAAGATGGACTTACCTGTCGCTCTGAAGGGTCACTCCACAAGAGCAGTAGCGGCATCATCTGCCTTTGCCGCGGGAATCCCAATTCAGGACATCTGCAGAGCTGCAACTTGGGCTGCTCCATGTACTTTCGCCAAGCGTTATCACCTTGACGTGTGTGCCAGACAGGACTGTTCCTTCGGCAGAGCAGTTCTCTCAGCTATTCTTCACCGACGACACCGCCCTCCTCCGAGTCTGGTAAGCTTGCTAATCACCCATATGTGTGATGCACAGAGGCCACGACGAAGAAAAGCAGATTGCTTACCTGTAACATGTTCTTCGAGTGGCCATCTGTGCATTCACACGACCCACCCACTGGCCCCGCTTGGTGTCGGTGAATGGATGTTTTTGTCAGTACCATGTCTTTTTGACAGTCATGGTTGACATTGAAGTTTTGCTACTATGTCTGTCTTCCAAGAAGGGGCAAACGTTCGGTCTTATAAAGACTGAGAAAATGGTGGACACTCCGCTCTATTTATAGTATGGAGGGGGAGGGGAGCGGAGTTTCCCACCAAAAACCGTTGGCTTTCTAATCTTTCTGGCCTTAGGCACTGCGCAGGTGCAGCACCCATATGTGTAAATGCATGATGGCCACTCGAAGAACATCAGTTATAGGTAAGCAACCTGCTTTTTCATGGGACCTCAGAGTACCTAAGATCATAAAGAAAATGTATGAAGACAATAGCAATATAAATATGCACGTATGAGTACACATACTGTGTAACTACAAATCAATAGCAGTAGAGCAAACTATTAAACCTACTGGGCAGATTTTTGAAGATGTATGTTAGTTCATTAGTTAAGTAGGTATTTAATTTAGGCTTATGTTAACTACGTAAAAGAAGCATCCTTGAACGCACTCCTGGGGAAACATTTGACTTTGCTAAATTCAAAAAACAGTTAATTCCATTTAACACATTTTCTTCTGGTTTGTGGTGTATATCTAAAAATGGAAAACAGAATTGCTGTAAATCCTTATGTTACAGGAATTTATCACAGAGCCAAGGTAAATATTCAGTGACCCAGCTTTACTGTGACTTGTTATAATGAGCAATCATTGAGGGTTTGTTCCTGGATGTTTCTGGTTATTTAGGAGAGGAGCAAGTGAGAGATCACAGGGCAGGTACAACCCTAACAAGAACTCCCCAGTTTGTTTAGCCTTGGAGGAAGTGATAATTTAGGGTATTCTAGCTTGCTTGCTTGCTTGTTCACAGTTAACCAGAGTTACAGCAATCCTGGTTTACTGTGATATGTGTGCATAGCCAGTGATTGTATATGTGAAAATCTCAGTTGTCGTACTTTTGTAGAAACTACACACTTCAAATGTTAAGTCAGGGGTTTTTTTACTTTGATGTGAAGCTAAAGTGAATATTGGACTTCCCTGGCTGGACTAAAGTGGCTAATCTGCTGGTTTGGATGAATTATTTGCTTATTTTCACTTCATCGGGAAAAATAAAGCTTATAGGAAAGTGGCTGCTAATGATGTTATGGCCTTCGTGTATCTGTAGTCCTGTCAATAATGTTTCCTTTTCTGATTAACAAGAAAGTAACATGATTGGGTAGAAGAAGAGCCATCAGAAACAAAAACCTTTCCTAGTAGGACCAGACTGTAACACTCTGCATAAAGGATCTTTGTAGGTATATCCCAATTTCTGAGATTGAACACAAACAATAGATTTTTAGAAATGTGAAAGAGTACTAAACCAGCCTCTTATATACCCTGTACCTGATTGTCACCTTCCTCAAAATCCTAAGGGCTGCCTTAGGATTTTGGACTTCATCCCCCATCAGTCCCAGCCAACATGTCTAATGGTAAGGAAGTTAGAGTTCAAAACATCTTCAGTGATGAGGTTAGGGAAGGCTGGCTTTAGGGAGAATGAGAGAACTTGCTTGCTTCTTCACCAAGCAAGAGGACTTTCTTTCTTGGTTCTCTACCATGCTGGACAGGTAAAATATATGAACCAACCTTTAGGTTTTTGAGGAAGCTGACGATTAGCCACAAGGAATATAAAAGGCTGGCTCAGCATTCTTGGAGCTCTGTGGAACACCCTTTCACAAGTTTCTTCAGATGATGACGCAAGTAGGGGTTATGCGCACACAACACCATTAGGTGGGTAAGTGCACTGTGGTTAAGTGAGTGGCTGCATTTGCAGACCCTTGGGCATGTGTGCTTCTTGTTCCCTTGCCTCCTCTGAGAAAGCTGTGGAGCGATAAGGAGTGTCCTGCCTTTAGATTGATTACAGTTCAGTGTATACAAATCCAAATGTGGTTAATTTTAACAATAGTTGGTTAAAACCAGCCAACTTCATGAACTATAGTTTGAAGTTGCCTCATGTCTACTAATTGTAGTAAAGATTAAATACTATTAATATGGGCTCAGCTAAGTTCCAGGTAATATGAAACTGAAGTGAAAGCTTTCAGACTCTCCTCCTATGTGGTTGGGAAGCAGAGGACTAAGGCTTGCTGCAGCTTATTCCTATATTGCAAAATCACCTTTTTTAAACCAACTCGCATGATCCAGCACCTCAATATTGTCAGTGTAGGGAATGAAAGAGGTGGTTGTTCTTGGTGCACATTTCAAGACCAGGGAGATTTGGACTCTTTAGAGGAAGAGGTAGAGGAGCCCTGGGAATGGGTTCTCCAGGTTTCAAGATGAAAGAGGCAGGAGGGTTTATCTCAAGACTGCCCTCTCTAGATATTCAGGCAGACTCTGAGAATAGCCACAGAATGCAACTGCTGGGAGAGGGTGTGCCACAGGAGCCAGACGAGCCTGGTATGCTTCCAAGAATCTATTGTTTTGAAAGGGCAAAGGTGGAAACCTAGCTCCTGACAATCAGGAGGATGGAGGATGGTGGGAAGTTATGGTCTAACACATCTAGAAGGTGCCAGGCTGGGGGAAGACTGTGCTAAACTTTGGTTTAGTGCTGCATAGTGTTTTACCTATCTGATGTAGCCTATTCCCCCATGATTTGTCTCTGCTGTACACAAAGAATGCCAACTTTCCCATGTTGTGCTTCTTTTAACCTTCAGTGTGTCTGCTTCTTTGTATCCTTTCAGATGATGATGTGGACTTGGAAGCTCTAGTTAATGATATGAACTCTTCCTTTGAAAGTCTGTACTCCACCTACAGTATGCATTCAGAAAGCACACCACTCCTTCAGAATGGCCAGCTTAATCGCAACCAGCCGCCAGCCTCAGGAACAAATTCCCTGCATCCTGTGTCCCCAAGACAGAAAGTGCAAAGGTCTCAGCCGGTGCGCATCATGGCAGTCAGGTATGGAAGAAGCAAAACAAGGACTTTCTTCTTTCAAAGTTATGGGTCAGCGTTCCTCGGAAAGATGGTGTGGCCCAACAGAAAAATTCATATCCTTGGGCCTGGAGTCTAATCACAGCCAATAATGCCATGGGTGACACTTTCCATCTGCCTCAGTTGCTCTTTCTGTAAAGTGAAGATCGCAAAGCTTTCAGTGGTTCCATATCCCGTACTTAAATGAGCTTGATACATGCTCTTACCAGTCTTTGGCCTGAGGAGCCTTAGGACATAAATTAAACAGTATATAAACTGGATAATATTTAGTACCTAATTTCCCAAGGTTGATTGCTGAAGCACACTTCTTTTTTGTGTGGGAAATACTGGTGTTATTTTTTTAACTGTAAGCCTTAAGCACTGTTTGCCTTCAGAACCCATTTGCTTTTCCTGAATGAGTCATTGCTCTGGATCGGCCTTCTGACAGTAAGAGCCTCTCTGAGTTAGAGTGAAGGTCCATCTGGTTCAGTATCCTGCTCTGCCCAGTATCTGGGCAGTCTTGGAGTGAGACATGTAGGAAATAAGGCCAGAGAGTGAGTCATGCAGGCAGACAACAGGCAGTCTTCTGCGGATGGGTCTTAGTGCTGTGACTCTACTGGGTGTGACTAAAACTTTCAGACTGGATGGACTTCCAGAGGCTGATCAGGAGAAGACACGGCTGGAGTGACAATCAGCTTCCTCTGAGCATTAGCACATTCTCTCGGGAATCTCCATTTTAAATCTTATGGCATACTTTTGTGCTTCTGTGCACAGTTTGGAAAGGAGCAAGGTTGATAAGAGTGACTTGCCTATGAATAAAAAGACTTGGCATGGCCCATCTCAAGTATGGAGAGCACTTAGATATCAGAAATTAGAAGTATTTATTTTATAGTATATATTTTAGCTTTTATATATTGTCCTCCATAGTTAATTTGGCTTTCAGAATGGTTTACAAGATTAAAAATACAATATAATAAGGAAATAGTGAAATAACAATAATAATGCATTTCAATAACAGTACATTTCATCAATTCAAGACCTGAGCCAAACAACAAGAACTGAAAATAAAGTACATAAGAAAACAAAATAGGCATAAACAACTAAATACATAATTAAATTAGCAAACAGTGACCCTGCAATATATACCTCATGTTTGTGTGTGTCTGTGTCTAAAAATAAGAACAATAGTAGGCATGTCAGGAGTGGAGCTGGCTGGAGCCCAGGGGTCAGACTAGATGGCCTGGGAGACCCCTTCTGACTCGCTCTGTTTCTGTGTTCCTACACTTCTACATTTAAAAATGCATCGCTTAACAATTAAAATGCTGGGAGAACAAATCTTTTTTTTGCTTGGTGCTGAAAGATGTAAATCAGGGGTCCTCAAACTTTTTAAACAGGGGGCTAGTTCACTGTCCCTCAGACTGTTGGGGGCTGGACTATAGTTTGAAAAAATATGAACAAATTCCTATGCACACTACAAATTAAAATTTAATTAAAATTTAAATGAATTTTAAAAAATAATTAAAATTTTAAAAATTAATTAAAAATTAAAAAATGTTTGCTGCACTCCCTTGGGCTGCAGCAGAAGCCCAAAATGAGGTGGGAAGAACATGCCCATATTCAAGGGACATAGCTACAACACAACCAAGGCACTAAATATACTATTTTGCATAATGCAGCTGATGACTGTAACTGGCATTTACAAAGAAGGAAGCAAAAATACTAAGGATAAATACAGTGGTACCTTGGCTCATGAACTTAATCTATTCCACGATTCTGGTCGCGACCCAAATTGGTTGTGAGCCAAGTCAAATTTCCCATAAGGTTCAATGTAAATAAGGTTAATCTGTTCTGTAACCATTTTTTAAAAATCACAAATATTTGAAACAAAGTGACAAAGAACAACGAAGTAACAACAACAAAAATCACAGCCATCTCCCTGCACCCTCAAGCATGACTGCGATCGCATCTTTCCTGCATGAGCGCAACTGCGATTGCAGCTGTAGAAGGGCAAAATTACAGTCGTGCTCGTGGGGGGAGGGGGGGAGATGGCCATGGTCACCCCCATCTTCCCTGCATGAGCATGACCGCAATTGCATCCTCTTCCCGGAGACGTGGCTCACATATTTAAAAATGGATTTAAAAAGTTATATTTTTCTTACCTTCAATCCTTTTTTAGTGTCTTCATCTCTCTCTTCCACCCTCCTCTCTTCTGTTTCCTGCTCCATATTCCTGCTTTGTATATGAGTGCAATTGGGGCGGGGGGAATGCAGCGCATGTGCGGTTGAACTATTACAATTTGGTCCGTACGACGGCTCTCTGCTCAGTGATCATCGCTCGGAGATCATTTTCTCCGAGCGAGTCCAAAAGCTCTGAGGCGGGCCAGATAAATGAGCGTGGCAGGTCTAGTTTTGAGGACCCATGATGTAAAGTGTTGGCATCAGGTGTATTTCTCTGGGGAGTGAATTCCATAAAATAGAATTTATTTATCATTTCAGTTTGTATGCTGCTTTAATAGCCCATATCTGGAGTCTCTGTGTGGCTCACAACAATTAAAACAGGACATTCTAAAATCAGAATGTTAACATATTTAAACATATTAACACATAATTCTAATATAAAACATAATATATCAAAATTAAAATATTACACAAATGCATTAGATAAACAAATTTAAATTTAAATCAAATAACCCTATTATTGGACCAATTAAAATCAAATCACTGAAATCAATTATGAAAATAGCCCATTCTGATTTAAAAGTATATTAAATATAGGCACAAATTTAAACCAACAAGCACTTAATGAAAAAGGCAAAGAAGGCTGAGTTGAAAAACATCTACTGCTGTACTGATTTTCTGTGGAAAAAGGTTTAGAACTTTAGTTTCCATCTTACGCCGCCAATGTGACCAGTGGTTTCATATGATTGTATAGCACCACCGTAACGGTTATGCAGTCTCAACAGTGGTTGGGGTTATCTCTGCACCAACTCTAACCAAGGTTAATGCTAACCAGATACCCCCTGAAAATCTGTTCCATAGACGCCTACAAGAAGAGGAACAACAGTTCAGGACATCCTCTTTACCTGCCATACCAAATCCCTTTCCTGAGCTTTGTAGCCCTGCAAGTTCACCTGTATTGGCACCTGGATCTCTACCTCAGAGTCAACCTGCTACTAAACAGGTAAGTTCTGTCCTTTCTGTTGGAACTTTATAAATGGATTATTGTTTTAATTATGTAGATTTCCTGGTTTTCAGAGTGTGGTGATTGATGTCTTAATCAGAATGGGAGTGAGGGGAAGTAGAAATGCAGTCTCTTGTTAAAAATAAAGCCTCTCTCGACTGAGCAGTGACTTGTAAGCAAAGCAGTCTTCAGGAAGACTTGGAAGCTTATTGAAAGTCCTGTAAGTACAGAGCATATCAAAAATCCTTCTTCCAGTTAATGAGATTGTTTTGCAGTAAATGGAGCAATAAAATTGGATATCCCTTTTGAATTTTATTATTGAAGGCTCACTTAATTTGCAAGACAAGAAATGTTGTTGGATTGAGTAACAATGACTTTATCCCACATGTCTAGAACTCTTACCTGATTCTTGCTGATTGAATGCCAGGTGTTTTCAGTAGTCACATTAATTTAAAAAAGCCTTTAATATATCCATGTAATCAAATTAGAAGCAATAATTTTGCATTTAATTCTGTCATTTTGAGTTAGAGAAAAAAGAGGCAGGGCTATGAGTAATTATGAACCACTGTGTCTTATCAGAAGGTTGCATAAACACTGTCTACAGCATAAAGACTTCAACCTAGCTGCAAACAAATTGGGTCTGTGTTAAAGGGTATTGGATAAATACACTCACTTTCTTCATATGAACATTTGAAACTGCCTTATACCAAGCTGGACCATTGGTTTGTCCAGCCCAGTCTCTGGCTCTTCAGAGATCCAAGCAGTGGGACTTTTGCAATTACTTGTGACCTGATACTTTTTGAACTGGAGATTCTAAGCTCAGGGTAATGCCAGATGAGATGCTAAGGCTGCAACTAGCCTAGCAAGACTTGCCTGCTGAAAATGATTTTTATCTGGGATGGTTCTAAATGGTGAACACAGAGGAATAGCCTTGCTGAGACTGAGTTCTCCAGTTTGTTGCATTGCTTACTTGTATGATCAAGTGCTATTGAGAACTATTTCTGTGCCAACAGCAGTTTGCCTTCTTGAATAGATGAAGGTCTTGGTTTCATGTCACCAACAGCATGCCAGTTCATGAGGCTTAGTCCTACTGGCTGGAGAAGATAAAGAGCCCAGAGAAACAGTTGCAACACCTTGGGATGAGTCAGGCAGCACAAAATGGATGGGCTCCATTTGAATCAGAACAGATTCCTGTTGGGGTACAACATAAGAAAGATGGCAGGGCAGCTTTTAAACTGAATCCTGGGGGAAAGCTGACAAGACCTGCGAAGCTTCCAGTCTGGACTGAATCGTTGCAAATTCTCCAATTTGACTAAATAGGGATGGGGTGGAGATTGGCCATCGGCATATAATAAAACATGGTAATTAGGCAAAGATGCGTTAAGGACCATAGTGGAAAATGCACGCACATGTAGCCTTATTAACTTATTAGTAATTGTTTTAATTTTAGATTTGTTGAATGAATAAAATGGCAATCTGTCTCATGGACAGAATGAATAGAATGGTTGCATTCACACTTACTGTTCCTGATCAAGCCTGCTGGTGCATGCTGCCTGATGTGAAAGAAGCCAAGGAGGGCCCAAGCAGGAGCTGCTTCAGGAATCAGGAATTCAACCAGAGGAAAAAGCTGAGCCTCCTGGTGGGTGGTTCCTTTAAGAAGCTGGAGTTCGAAAGCAGGATTTGAAGTCAGCTAGGGATTCCTGGCTTGTGGGGAATGACAAGCCAGGAATCAGCTCCAGATGTAACAGTAAACATTTTTCTCCTGGTCAGTTCTTGGTTACTGAAGTTGTTCGTACCTGTGTGCAGAAGGAGCAAAGTGAGAGTGGCAGGACACTGTGCACCAGCGTGCTCAATTGTGAACAGGAATTCAAGATTCTCCAGAACTCTGGCTTGCTTTCTGTGAATGAGGCCACCATTTTAAAGTGGATTTAAAGTGGCTATAGATTTTTAATTTTTGCTTAACTGAAGAGAAAGAGTGCTGCTAAAGAGTTGGGTTACTGAGAACTTGTTTAATGCACCAAAAAGTAACTTGAAATTATTAACAGCCTGGTTACTATATCTGTTGTACTATGTTTCCTAACATATTAATTCACTTTTCTTTGTCTGCAGAGTAATATCCTTGTGGAATATTGCAGATAATCGTTTTAGCTAGACTATTCGGATAGCTAAGGCTTCAACACAAAAGAGAATCTTGGGTATTTTGGACTTTTGCAAGAGCACTTATTTGCAGTACTTCATATAAAAAGTGAGCTGCATGTACCAGAAATCTAGATCTTGAAGAATGTGTAAGGTTCTAGAAAGCTTGAACAGCAACTTTTGAGAGATTCTTTTGTAGCAGCAGACAAGCTAAGAGCATGAATCTCCTAAAACAAAGCTCTTCTCTGTTCCAGAACTTGTCAGGCTGGAAGGGAAGCCAGCTGAGGGCAGCCTGAAAAGCTGATAGACATTGTAAAAGGAGACTGCAGTAAGGTCAGGCAGGAGGACAACTGGGGTGGTCAAATATTTGATGTGTCAGGGAAGAACAGAAATGAGAGGTAATTGGACAGACATAGTTCAATGGAGAATCTTCAGTAATGATGTAATGTTGGCACTCATTGTGCTAGATGGGAGGCAGCAGACAGCTTATTTTGAAGCAAGTCAAACTGTGTGAGGTCCCTGATGCAATGAAGGGTTGTCACGACAGGTTTGCACAACAAATATGCTGTTTCATTGGGGCTTGGGGCCTGCAAGGAAGAGATAAGGTGAGCAGATTCAGGTTTAAGTCAGTCAGGTTACAGCAAAGCACATCAGTCAGGTCAGGTCTAGTTGAGGTAATGAGCACTATGACACACTGGGTCAAGTCACACTGGTGTAGCCATGACAGTTTCCAGTGAGCAGCAGTCAGGACCCTGGATAGCTCCCAGAAAGGTTGACTTTAGTCAACTCAATAGTTGAGCTGTAATCAGATGTTGCCTCAGTAAAGGTTTGGAATTAATTGAAACCTTTCAAAGGCTGTCAGGGTTTTATTTTCAAGTGGCTGGAAGAGCTGCATAGGGATTGTGGACAGCTTTTCATGTCCACAGTTTATTATGCAACTGTGTGCAGGAGAGGCTACAGGGAAGTCATCCCCAGAGTCTGCAGGTAATAGGAAAGCCATGTTGTCAAGCTGGGATAGTATAATAGAGCTCTCCTCTTGGTGAGGTAGTCTGTGATTTTATCGAATCTAAATCTTCTTTACAATCCCCTCTATTTGGTTCCAGATAAAGGGGACATCACAACAAAGGATATGGTTACTATAAATTCCATATGTTTCAAGTTGTGAAGAGTTGATTGGAGTTGAAAATTACTTCCTAAAGCCACAGCTACAGCCTTGAACTTGGAAGAGCTGAGCAGGGCTGTTGCGGGCAAGACATTTTAGATGGCTTTCATTCATGGGGTCATCATAAGTGGGAAACACCTAAGCAGCACACAACAACAATACCTATATAGGTTTGCAGTTTGTGCTTGAGGTGTGTGATGGGACTACTGAAATGTTGAAAAAAACTGCAACAAACTATTGTTGTAATAGTTTGCTTTTGGCTCTTGCCTCTTGGTAGAGCAGCAGAGGCACAGGTTGGGAGAGAGTGCTGAGTGGCCAGGGGACTGGCGAAGGCAAGGTAGGAGCTGGGCAGGGGGGCAGGAGCAGAGGAGAGGAAGGTAGTCGTCCCTTGTCTGCATCCCTTAGCTGTGGCCCGGGCTGCCCAGGGACTCCCTTTCCTGGGAGGCTGAGGTTTGTTTGTTTGTTTTGTTTTATTGTTTTTTTTAAATTGCTTTCTTTTTCTTTGTTTTTTGTTTTGTTTTGTGCTGTTCTGTTCTGTGCTTTCCTTTCCTTTGTTTTTCTTCCAATTTAAATTTTATTTTATCCTTGCATAAGTGTGTGGGTTTTTGTCTGGGAGAACTGGGCGAGTGAGGGGTACTGCAGGATAGACAGGGGGCGGGGGAACCAAGGTAGGGTGTCGGAAGAGTTCCCAATGGCAGACCAGGAGATGGCTTTGGCAGGAGTCATGGGTGTTGCTGTCCACTGTGACAGCTGCGACATGTTCGCCCTTCTCCCCCAGGAGAGGCAGGGATACACTTGCCCTCAGTGCAAGATGGTGACCCTGCTAGAGGAGGAGGTGAGGTGCCCGAGGGCCAAGAGAGCTCTCCAGGCCCCCCGGGAGCAGCCCCCTTATGGACAGAGGGTTGAGGGAGAGGCCACGGAAGGAGCAGCCGGGGAGACACGGAGGCATGTCACCCACAGGAGGAGGCGGCAAGCACGGCCTCCTTCTTCTCCTGGTAGCAATCTGGAGCTGGGAAACAGGTTCTCTCTGCTTGGGGAGGCTGGGGCTGATGAAGCCTCGAGGGACCAGCAGGACCCCCAGCCTGGGACAATAAGTGGCAAGGGGACTGCTGCAGGAGAGGTGAGGGCCAGAGCACGGCCGCCCACCAGCACCAGGAAGACACGGCGACGGGAGATTGTTGTTGGGAATCCCTGCTGAGGGGCACTGAGGTGGCGGTGTGCTGCCCCAAACCTGGAGACAAGGGAGGTTTGCTGCCTGCCAGGTGCATGCATCCGGCATGTGAAGGACAGAGTGGAGCGTCTTGTTCACTCCAGGAGTCACCAGTCGCTCCTGGTGATCCATGTGGGCACAAACGATGTGGCCAGGCAGGGTGTGGTCAGGATCGCCAGGGACTTCGAGGCCTTGGGGAAGAAACTAGGAGCTAAAGGTCTAAGTGGCCTTCTCGTCGATCTTACAGGTCCAAGGATTTGGGCCAGGAAGGGACAGGAGGGCCTCCAGGGTGAACGACTAGCTTAGGGTGTGGTGCCAGAAGGAACACTTTGGGTCCCTTGACCACGGCACTCGTTTTCTTGCCAATGGACTTCTGACAAGGGACGGGTTACACCTCACGAGGATGGGGAAAAGGTCCTTTGGAGATGCTCTAGTGAGCTTCGTCTGGAAGACTTTAAACTGAGCCAGGGGGGTGGGTTCAGGCCCCCCAGT